GTACTTTGCTGCCATTGTATTCACCAAGATCTATTCAGCTATCACCGTTTCACAGATCTGTAACGTATATAGAAATAGTATCGTGTGAATAATACTTCACTAAGTAAGTTCCTAGGAAAGATTGGAGGGGTCACAAACGGTCCCGCTTAAAACCCAATCTCCTTAGACAGAACTTCCTAGACTGTATTTAATCACCGCACTGACTTTCTATATACGCCAACAGCAACCGTATGGATGAATAGTGCCGTATAGGTGAATAGTTCCGTATACGTGAATAGTAACCGTATACACGAATAATTTTTGTGTATTAACAACACCAACCAGGAGGCTCTGATACCACTGTTAGGATGCTGTCATGCAAACCCGACAAGACAAAAGGTAAGGGACAAGATAAAATGAGAAATGACACACAAGAATTTACGTGGTTCACCCAATTTGGCTACGTCCACGGGCAAGTATAGAAGAATTTTACTAAGTAATGTGGGAATACAACTTCTCTCTAATAATAGGAGAACAACAAAAATCTCTCTATTATTAGGAGAAAACACCTCACTTACTATCTCACAAATACCTCACAATTTTGTGGGATTACTCTCTTCTCACCCTCTCTTCTTTCTCTCTTATGGTGTGTCGATAATGCTTGGATGCATTGCCTATTTATAGGCAAACATCCATGCAAAAGACAAGGGCAAGGTAGGTGGCACCAAATTTATGCCTAACATTATTGACAAATTGATGCCTAACATTGTTGACAAACATTGTTGATTTTGTCGGGGTGATTTCACAGGTTCCACATCCATTATACTATTGTGTTCATGTCTACCTTATCAGTCAAAATATCAATTGAAGGTGGACTCTTGTTCGTGCTAGAACCTGCATTATTTACAATCCTGTCTCTATTTTCTAAGGTTTCATCAGATGCAACTTCATTAACACAAAGCAATCCAGGTGGAGAAATACAGGCGGTTGGTGGGTCAATATCCATCTGAACAAACCTGCTCTTCAATAGCATCGACAATATCACCTCTGTGACTGCCAGAAGCCTCATGTCTGCCCTGACAATCTTTCCTGTTGAAGGATGGCGCATCGTTGTCCATATGATCACTCTCATTCATTAATTCTCTATCTTGATTTGACGAGATTGTCACACTTATTTGCTACTCAAGGGAGTTCAAAGCTTGTTTCTGAGTTGCATCATCGACAGATCGTATTTTGGGAAGAGAAGTGCAGTTGGACGATGGGTCAATATCCATCTAAGCATAAACCGATTCTTCTCTAACACCCTCAACAAAATCACCTGTAATTCCGCGTGAAAGCCCATGTCTGTCTCTTTCCTGATAATCATTCTCATTGGGAGATGACATATCTTTGTCGATATGATGATTCTCATTCACCAATTCTCTATCTTGATTCGAGGAATTGGTCCCCCGAACCCCCAGCTGCTCAAGTGAATTCACAGCTTTTCTCCAAGTGGCATCTGCATTTGTTTGGCAGCTATCTAAATTAACTAACCCATCTAATTCCCTCTGTACAGAAACTGCTAGAGAAACAGCTTGGTCGCGGACCAAACAATCATAAGGTAGGCAGCGTAGCATATCGATCAGGGCCTGTTTATATTGAAAGAGGCTAATAGATGACTTCCTACACCTTTTATCATGACACAATTTAATAACTTTAAAGACATGCTCGCATAAGTTGCCCATTTCTGCCTATCTGCAGTAACAAATAGCAAATTCTGAACCAGGGTTCCAGACAACAAAAACCCTATCTCGATCAAACTGGTCAGTAACTTTTGTACATCTACCATCCATGACAACATCAGAGTCAGGAATCTTCAATGCTTTGCGCCAAGATGTTAAACCACCGACCCACTCATCTTCCCAGGATCTTGCAAAATCATCCTTTTCTGAGTATTCATCAAGCCAGAAGTAAGAATGCACTTTTGTACCCAACTTATCAACCAACTAATCAGCACGCTGATAAACTCCAGGTTTCTTCTCATTCAAAAGCCTGACTTTCAGTTGGTTGTGGCAAAATTCCATTGCTGCACATGTCTCCTGGCTTGCCTGTGGAAGAGTTTCTAGTGCAGTAGTCCTACTCCCTGACACAAGGAAATCTTATTTTTAGAGGTCCTGTGTGAAAAACCCAACCAACACCAAGATTCTAGGGCAATACTTCACATATTTTAGAAAAATATGCAATACTATGCAGCCCCGTCAATCTACATTCCAACTGAGATACCAAGCCCATTGCAAACCAACTAAGGAAAATTAAGAAGAACAGAAAGAATGCGTCCAGTCTGTTTACACTATCTTAATTACTATTGAAAAGAAAAGAAATTTTAATCAATCTATTCTAGGATACCAGGTAGCCTTGAAGTAATCCATAAAGCTAGAGCCATCAACAAAATCTTCCATGAGAACTTCAAATAAACCGACAGTTGCTTGTCCTCTGCAAATATCATCTACTGTCTGTCCAAGCCGTATAGATATCTGGACACGCCACTCTGTTTCCATGCACCGCTTCTTTAGTTTCTTAAGCCAAGCATGGCGAACTCGCCAAAAAGATGTCAAAACGGAGCACTGAAACACATCCATGAGAACAACAAAGATAAACAAATAAGGTTTTTGTTTAGATATATTGTACAAAAAGAGACAAGGAGGCTAAATTATTCTCTATTTGCCTGGACTGACACAACATGTCCGCCAAACAGTCGATCTTAAAAACCAAGTCCCAGATCTTCACTCAAATTGAGAATCTGAAACTGATCTCCAGATACCCCATCTTACAAATTCTTATGAGAAGTTCACCAAGTATTGCAGTTCAGCTATACAGACGTGTTAAAAAGCACATTATTAAAGTTTCTTTTAAGATCGCAATGGTAGACAAGAAGTGGTTCCTAGCACACAGAATTGCCAATATTAAACCCATGCAAAACCTCATAGATATGGGCTATATGGTCCCTGGAATACTAAGCGAAACAAATAAAAATGACCAAGAGGTATATAACCACCAAATTCATATTAAAGAAAGTTGACTGCCTACCTTATTGTGAGGATGTCTGTCAAGGGATCATCCACTATAAACCCAGCCAACTTCCACGAAGGATCTTTAGTACGAACCCTGTTGTAAAGTGCCCTCATCCATCTATGTGCATCAGCACTAGCGAATCTTGGTGTTACTATCCAAGCTACAGGGATGTCCTTATTGTCTGAGTTGAACACAACAAGACTGTGAACAGGATACTAAATAAAATCAAAGAAAAGAGCATAGTCAGTTTCTGAAACATAAAGAGCCATCCAGGCAGTGTAAAAGATTGGTTTCACAGGATTTGGACCGTATAAACTGAAATGACAAGCCTTCAATTTGTTTGTTCCAAACCTTAAATCAGAAGCCACAAGACTGCGATTGCCAAACCGAATCATTTGTTGCAACTGCCACTCTATTTGTATTCCCAAAGTGAAAGGCTCAGAATCAGAAAAATCCTCGAAGAAAAATACCTGACTCGGGTGGCTTTCAACCCCCATGTTAATGCTAACTGCATCATCAGTGTCCAGTTCAAATGTAGATGCTTCTTTCCTGCCTCCGCACATTCCTGTGAGTCAACAGGTCATCACGATTACATGGACCACCCTGCCTCTCTACTGATTCATTGTGTCTCTGCATTATGGTCACAGAGACCCCAACATATAATAGAGATAAAACACGAAGCCGAAGATCCTCTGAGATATAAGGGGCAAACACAGCATGTGTTCCTTCAGCCTTCTTATCCTGAGGGCCATGGCACGATAACCCTTTGTTATCCACGTGCTTGTCCTGATAATATATGATCAGTGCTACAGATGGTTCAGAAATTAAACGTTTCACAATCCCTCTTGGTATTTGGTCCACCAGCATTTTTCTTTTTTGGAACACAAGTAGTTCTACTGGGCCATACTATGCCACCTTTCCGGTGATCATCAGGGCCAAAAGAACACCAATATCTAAAATTCAAATGGATCACTCAAGTCACGGCATTAGTGACCACTAAGTAGGAACTGCCAAAAGAAGGAAGAAACTTACAATATATACTCAAGGATGCCATCAACCTTTTGCTTGTAAGATGTCTGAGAAGGCCGACGCCTTCTAGCTTCAACATGAAATCTTGTTGGACAGTCTTTATTAGCAGACTCGCCTCTTACAAAATCATCCACTCTAGCAAAAGGGATAAGAGCAAGTCTATCTAAATTTTCGCGCCAGCCTTCAACCTTTGACCATATTAAATCAGAAGCACAAATTCCAAAGTTGGAGGATTCTGCAGAGGAAGGGACAGAATTCCATCCCATCTGGCCATCTAAAAATGCACATAACAGAAATTAGGTCAGTAAATAGTTGAAGGGTTATAACCTTCGTCAAAGTCATAGCTCATCAACCCAAGTTGGATGAACTTACCAAAATCAAGTTCCTTATTCTTTAGACTATTACCAAATCAGAACAAATCATAGCACCATCTTGCATCGTATCAAGTCCTTTGATCAGCATATCTTATCATATCAACTCCGATAATCAACTTATCTTGAAATTGTAAATACCGATAACAATCATAAAAAGTTTTGACTTTCTTGTAGTACAGTAATAGTTACTCTTAAAATTGGAACATGCTGACTAAGGAAACAGATTCGTTCTTCAGATTTCCTGTCATAATCTTAGTTTCTAAACTTTTGGCAGACAACCCAGAATCTAAAAAATCCTTGAAAATTTCTCTTTGTACTAATCTTAAGAAGACCAGCTGGTGCAAGGAAGATTATTTTTCTTCTACAAATTCAAACTCTATCTTTCTTTCTTCTTTCTCGACCTCGCTGTCTCTGTGCTTTCCCTCTGGCAGCTGCTAGGTGGCACCTCCTCTCTGATTTTTGAGGGAATGAACAATCCATTTGGTTCAAATTTGGGCTTTTTATATACGGGCCACGTTTTCGAAGAGTGAGCCCAAAGAAAAAAGGTTTCATGCCTTCTTAGGTTTCTTGCACGTGTCTGCAACCAAACCCCAATTTGCTTGCCATTGGGTTTTTGGGTTTGTCTCAGTATCTCTAATACAGTGCTGCACTGTATGATATCCGGGTCTCAACTTATTTTCTCAAGTTTCTTTTTAGGCGAAGTCCTGTTTTTACAAGGAGAAAATTGAGTTGTTTTTGTAATAAAGTTTTCATCTCTTTGTTGCCAAGAGAAGAAAAGCAGAGATTTTTATAGTGTTAGAAAATGCAGCATATCAGGAGATGCAGTGGTCCTTTGAGATCTCAAAAAGGGTTGTCTTTATTTTTGGGCAGAAAAATTCTTAAGGGAGTATCTGATGTGGGTTTGGCGGCCTTTTCAACATCCATGGTTGCACAAAGAGGTGCACTTGGCAATCCAGTCACTAGGGTAAATATTTGTCTTTTCCTCTTTTTTCTTCTTTAGTTTCAGTTTTGTACCTTTGAGACACCGCGACTTGCTCTCGGAGTTGAAGCTGGTTATTTTTCAGCTTTCCGGTGGTTTTTAATTCAAATTTAGCTTGTGCCTCGTATATAATTATGGTTGTTTGAAGAAATTTGCTGTGGTTAAATATTGAATACAATAGGACTTGAATATGACTGTAGTGGTAATGTATGTTTCCTCCATTGTATTATGACTTTGAGGTATGGAATGAGAGACCTGAATCCTATTGAAGTCCTTGTTATAAAGCATCGCCATGAATGGATTAACCTCCTGGACAAAAAAATTATCATAGCTTCTTTTTCAGATATGCCGAACTTTCTTTTTGGCTCTTGTTCTAAATAATGTAATGCAAAATGACATCCTGGGGTTGTAGATTTTTCCAGGTTCTGGCCTTTTAAAACGAATCAGTGATATTACAAATATTCAGCTGGCACAAATGAGAGAGAAGCCACACAAATGCTCTTTCTGGTTATAATTTTCCTTTTCCCTTTGTGTTTTATTATAAAACTCACTCCTCCTCCTCCTTCACCCCTCCCCATATGTGCGCTTTATATGGATCTACGAATTCAACGAATTATTCATTTCTTGTCACAGCTGCCCTTTTTCTAAGTGTTGGCTCCTTTTCTCAACTTGGTTATTCAATTACTTCTGGAAATGTCTTATCAATAAACCAAATGGTTAACAGTTGTTATGATAAACTTATATTAGGAAGTCGTTATTGTTGGAAACTGTATATATATATATATATATAAGCCTATTAGTTAAATGTGATGTATTGGTATTTGATTGAAGTTATGTTTTGATGTTGACAAAGTTGCCAAAGTCAGATTACGTGAGACATTTTAGTGCCAACGCCAGCCATTTGACTAAGGTGAGGTAGGTGGTTTTTCCCACTTTCATTTTCCCTCAGCTTGTAACTGCAGACTGATTTTTTTTCTACCTCTTTCTAATCTGCAGGACATACTTCGGCATAATGGTCAGTTAATGTTATGCTTCATGTTATTGAATCATTATGTTTGTGTAATTCTTATATACTCAATCTGGCATAGTCTTCTCTCTTGTTGGTGAGAATTGTCCCTCTGCCTCTCAGGTTGAAGTTTGAGTAAAACACCATGCATTGTTTTGAGATTTCTGCCTTGGTCTATGGTCATCATGGGAGTTTTTATTTTGCTTACTGCTTTGCTAATCCTAGAGCTCATTTTTTATTTGCTTGGAAGAGAATTTATACAAGGACCAAAGATCTTCTAATACTGAACAGTTTTTATATTGGGTAACCAACTTAAAGGCAGGAAAAGACTTGTAGGCATACAAGTCATATAATACAGTGTTGGTGCCATAATTTTTTTTTTACGCAAACAAAGTGCTACAAGTTTACTGACATTTTAGTGTTCAACTTGCATATCCACTGGTTCTGGAGCAAGGTTGTTTTGCTTATTGATTATCTTCTTTGTGCAAATTAATTCTTGACAATAAGATTTGGCAGGTATCCCTGCTATCTATGGAGGTCAGCCTAATAGAGAATACTTGATTAGCCTTAGGTCATCCTTTCAAATCATGGAAACCCATGGGGAAAGCACCATTAATATTTGCTTTGCTAGATCTTTCGCATCGAAAGCTTCAAAGAAAGAGACGGATAAACAATCTGAGGTTTGAATTCAAATTGAAGTTCAAGAGCTTTCATGTTTATGTTCTAACCACATCCTATTGGGTTGCCTGATTACTGTTGAATACCTGAATGAATATTGTGTTTGACAATGCTGTCAACCATTTATCTATAAAATATTAGACTGAAATATAGACTTATTTTTATGTGGATCCTACCGCTATCTGAGTGGTTCTAGATTTTCATGTAGGAAATAAATATTTGTTTATACTTTACTTTTGAAACAAGCTGTTTCTTTCCAGACAGTTTCTAAATTTAGTTTGTTTGACTACTAGATTATGTACTCCAACTTAGCAGCATATGAACCAACTTGACTTCATAATTTTTTAGTTTTTCCCTTCTACTTTATATAATGGTGTCACTTTGTGTTCTTTTCAAAGAGTATGATGCTATTCTGGAAACTCGTGTTTTGACTCTATTAATTGTGTTCCACCACTCTGGACAGACCAAAAAAGATGTATCTACTGTTGAGGATCCTTTTGATGCTCCAACATACAATATCCCAGAGAAGCCTGTGACCTTTACAGAAGGTGCTTCCTACAGCATTATAATTCTTGCAGGACTTGGTGTTGCAGCTGCTGCGGCTTATGCTGTTTTTAAGGAACTGATATTTGAACCAAAAGAGTAAGAGTTGTCTTTTGTAATTAAATTATATGAATATGGTTAGAAATAAACTATTCGAGTTTTGTCTCCTTTTCCCTTATTCCACTCTGATTTGCACCATGGTCTGTAATAGGTACAAGATCTTTAACAAGGCTCTGAAAAGGATTCAAGATGACAGTCAGGTTTGTGAAAATTAATACATTTTTTTCTTGGGCTTGCAATTTTAAAGCACTTGTTCCTCTTCTATTTATGATGGTTGGTGGACCTGAAAATGAGACATTATGTTACAATGGGATAATCAGTTGAGGTTGCCTGTTGTGGAAAGCCCCCGAGTATTTTACAGGGAGTCCCAAAGCAGGAAGGTCAAGCCGAATATGAATAAACCATGATAAACAAATAACTTGAGTGACTGATTATGCAGTTAGTAATAAATCATATTGCTATTATCAATAGTCATTTGAAAATAAGAGAGGCAGTGGATGCTTTGGTTCAAGCAGTCAGGCACAGTTTATTGGCAAAACTAAAATAGTGAAATCAAATTCTTAAGTCAATAAAACTTGAAGGCAAGATGCGAAGTCACAAAACTGTGAAGGAGATTGTGAATGTTATAGACAGAATCCAGAAGGATCTGGTTGTAAATGTTCATAATGGTTCTCTCTGGCTACTAAGCTTTGCTGTTTTTCCATGTTGATATCCTTAGTACAATTTTGTTGTTCACTTCAGATTATATTTTCTTTGAATCAGGTCAGAGTGAGAATTGGATCTCCTATTACGGGTTATGGTCAGGAAAGCAGAAATCGTGCTGCTCGCCAACGTATTCCCAATAGGATCTTTACTGATGAAGATGGTGTGGAACATGTCCAGGTAAACTGAGAAGCATCGTAGTATCCAAGTGAAATTTTGTCTTTGTATCCAAGAAAATGCACAAGGTTCAAGGAATGTGTATAACATGTGTGAATGGTCCCCTCAGTCTCCTTCCCTTTTAAAGAAGAAATAAAGTGAAAAATCTACAAGAACAAATAAAATTAAGGATAATTTTGATTTTTTGTGTAATTTCATATCTGCTTACATGTTGCCTCATTGAATGTAGATCAATTTCTATATTCGTGGGCCGCATGGTGCTGGGAAGGTTTCTGCTGAAATGTTCAAAGACAAAGTGGACAAGCAGTGGAAGTATACATATCTAATTGTGGAGGTCATGCAACCTTCGCGATCCCAATTGATTCTGGAGTCATATATGCCAGCGCCAGCACCAGTGGTCACGTAAAACATATACACGAGTATGTCATAGTTTAGATAAGGTTTCTTTTGTACGAATTTGATCTGGAGTGGAGTCCCCAACTCTTGTCAATAGATATGAATAATTTCTAGACATTCTGGCGAGATTGATTCTTAGTTTTCTTTAGAGTTCCAGTTTTGTCCTTCCTAGCTGATAAAATTTTTTGTTCACTGAGAAAGCAAAGATCTCTAAAATCTGATTGGTTGATCACCTTAACCGAAATGGTTTGTTTGGCTGCGTATGTTGTGTGTGTGTGTGTGTGTTTCACTTGTTTAGCTCTATTGCGTCATTGTAGACACTAGTGTGAATTATGCATGTGACCGATTATTATCTGTTCGTTTACTGAGGAAATAAATGCCGATTTGAATAGAAAAAATATTCGCTGGCGATTAGGTTGAGCCTTGCTCCCGCCTGGAAGGGGATGGATTTAGAGGAGACTCAAACTCTGTGCAGCTAGGGTCTCATGAGGTCTCCTGAATCCTAACGAACCAGTAATTGCAACTAAGAATATTTTCTTTTGCTAGAGCCAAGTAAAGTTGTTGAATGACCATAGCACTTTCTTTTATTACCTTCACCGAGAAACTCATTAAGCCTTCAATCGTGCTACAAGAGTAGTCGTTTTCTTCTTTTGATCCCTAACGTAATCATGCTTCATGTCTGTTTGGCTTCCTCTACCATATACAATAATTATCAGTAGCAACATTGAACATGGTATAATTCATTCAAAAACTAACATCAAAGACCGAACTTTGGTAGGAAAAAAAAAGGTGAAGAAAATAAAAAGGCAAGCTTAAGATGACAAAGCAAGCGGGACTTTCTCTTGAATCCCTTCATACAAAAGCTCGTTGCCTTCCCAATCAGTAATAAAACCATAAGCCAAATGGGCTCCCATCATGCCATATCTGACCTAGACCTGTACTCCGCACCATCCTATCTAACTCTGCATCTGGATCTTACATCCTACACACGAACGAACCAAATCCTGACAGGCACTCGCTGACACTTCTTCGCAATTCATGATTATTTTCCTCCCTTTTACACCTATCCGTCTATCTTTCGTAATAGGTCGATAAATAATGCCAAGAACAGGCTTCCCCTAGTAAAGAAGAGCAATGAGAGTACCAAACCGGAACCTCTGACAAATAAAACTGACTGTTCCATCAATAGGATCCACAACCCAAACAAAGTCTTGGAATCTTGATGTCATTGGTGTTGCTATCTTTAGAATCCCACTTGGTTTCTTCGCCAAAAACTGCATGGGAAGGGAGGCTTTCAAGAATGATGGGAATTATAGCTTCTTTATCCGCAATTGTTGCAGGGCCATCTCCATTCTTGTCAGAAACCGTTGCATTGAGAAGTGGCAGAGAGAATAATGTCTGATAGGATTGAAGAGTTTAGGGTTCATGGATTCAAATTATATGACCGTTACTTTACAATTGTTGAGGAGTCCAATACGCAGCGTTTTGATTGCACCAGCATTACTCATACACAGCGTTTCATGTCTTCCTTAGCTCTCTTGTCTAGCGTGAATAGGAAGGTCCCCGTGTTGGTCAAGTAGGAATGTCTGGAAGTAGTTGCTCTATGTGATAAAAAAACTTTGGCAGGATAAGAACAGAATGAAGAATTAACAAGATGAAATCTCTCTGTCTTGCCTTCCTTCTTCTCATCTCTTTCACCATTGAAGCTGCAACCCTCCTGTTGATTTCTGCAACTGGTTCAGAGCCATTCCATCGCATTCCATTCCCCTGGATATACTGCTTGTTGGTGTTGTTCCCATCAGACTTGCACCAAAATCTTCCGGGTTTGAGGCAAAGGAGAAAAAAGAGTTAGCGAGACAGGAAAACTAGAGACGCTGATGGCATTTAGATAGAGACAGCTAGAATTTGTCCGATAGTATTCTGGAAAAATAAACAAGAGAGACGGTGGAGAGGACAAGAAAGAGGAAGAGTCAACGCTTTTGTAGTGTATTGCAAAGTGCAAACCATAAAACAATTTTTCATTTATCTTAATTGAATGTTTCCAAGTCTCAGAAACTCTCAATTAAGTTTAGTTTTTCCATTCGTTTTCTTATCATGGATTCCATCTCAATCTATCTTTTTTTCTTCTATTTTTATGAAACAATACCTTCTTTAGTAAACTTATTGTTTTATGTTAAATCAAGTTGATATCCTTAAATAAGTTATCAATTCTCTGAAAATCAATTCTTGTTTTTAGAACCTTTTAGGATATTTATTCGAATTCTAAATGTAATTCTTGAAATTCAAATCAACAAGCAAATCAAGGGAGATTCTCAAATTTGCTACAATAATATCAAATCAAAGATACAAAAATAACCTCTTCTCTCTCAAGAACCTTACACCACTTCTCTTCACTGTTTCTTTCTTTTCCTCGAGAATGAGATCTAGGGTTGGTAGATTGAACCTAAATCTAGAATTTTATCACTTGTTAGTTATAGAAATTAGATTAGGTTTAGAAAGTTTGTATTATATTTACTTAGTTTTTTTTAAATAATTTTTTTTATCTTTTAATATTTATTTAATTATAAACTAGGTTTGTTTTTTTTATTTATTTTTTTTATATAGAAGTTTTTGTTAGTTTTGAAAGTAACTATAGTTATTTCGAGTTTTTTTATTTATTGTTCTTTCTTAAGTTTTTTTGAATAATTCTTTAAATTGATATTTTTTCTAATTCCATTCTTCAGTATCTAGAGTAATTTTTTTAAACAATGTATAAAATTATAATTGTTTTACAATTTCATAACTTTTATTGTTTTAAATTTAGTCCTTATTCCTGGGGAAAAAAACGCTAGGTCGTTTGGTGAAGAATTTTTTTATTTTTTTTGAATGACATGTAGAGACTTAAAATTTGCACCACCCCTTGTGCAAGAAATTTTTTTATGATGCACCCATGAATTATCTGGCTATGGATATTTCAGCCACAACCGATCCTCTCAACTACCAATCAAATTAAGACTAATCTGAAGGTCCATATCACCTCATGTGAATGTGATGAATTTGAGCCCGAGAAGTATATAGTATTATGCTATGCAGATAAAATATATATGATTGTTCGCTATCTGCCACCAACCAATTAACATCAACATTGAATTCAACATCACAAAATTCAAATAATGACAACCCCCATTACGTATTACATGTGGGGTTTTTTCACTATACAAGGCTGCATTATTCACCATCACATACATTATTATAGATGAGCAATAAAATTTTATATTTTTTTTTAATTTGATCCTCAACATTTTTTTTTTCCTTGACTACCTAGTTGTAATTAAAAATTAATTAATTTTATTTTTCATAAAAATATAGAATTAAAAGAAAGGGGATCGAAATAAAGAAGATGTCAAACATGGATGGCATATTATAAGTTTCATAAAAGTTATATTTTGATCTTTAAAATTTTAAAAATCACACAAATTATATAATTTCAGTACCTCGGTATTTTTCCAATTCAATTTTGGTATAAAAGATTATTTTTGTTATTTTTTAGTCCCTAGTTAAGAGAGAAAAGAGAGAGAGATCGTCAAATTCCAGTTGTAAAGAGAAAAAAATATTATTAACATTGATTTAGATCACTAAAATGAACAATATTATGGTTCCACTTGATAAAAGGAGTTCATATTAAGGCTCCGTTTGTTTGCAGGAAAGCTTTTTTTTTTAAAAAAAAAGTGAATTCCGGGGAAAGTAAATTTCTGGAAAGTGAATTATTTTCTAATGTAATAGTGTTATGAAAAATGAACTGCAAAACATTTTCCGGTGTTTAGTTATATTATGAGAAATGAGCTAGAAAATAATTTATTAATGTTTTATTTTTCTCAAGTTTATTAAAATAATGATAAACAAATCTTACAAATTAAAAAGTTAAATGAGAATGAAATTGAAAAAAAATAGAATTTCATAAATTATCTCAAATAAAATAAATAATAATCAAAATAATAAAGATCAAATCTAAAAAAAATGAAGAAATAAAAAAAAATTAACATTTCATAAAGTATTTAAAATAAAATAAGTAATAATCAAAAGAATGAGAATCAAATTTGATAGATAAAAAATTTCAATAAAAAAATAATAGAAGAAAAGCAAATAACAATTATAAAAATGAGGACCAAAGTTAATATAAAAATTAAATTTTAAGAAATAAAATTGAAAACAAATATTCCAAAACAAAATATATATAGCAATCAAAAGTTTGAGGATCAAATTTGATATAATCAGCAAATAATAGCATTTCTAAATTTTTCACAACTTCCAAAAAGTGTTTTCCTCCCGAATTTTTTAGGAAAACACTTTGCTGAAAACCAAGCTAAATTTTTCTTTGACTGGAAAGTGTTTTCCATTGACCAACTTTCCTAACAGCAAACAAACACAAGAAAGTTTGGAAAGTGATTTTCCAGAAACCACTTTTCGAAAAACAAACATAGCCAAAAAGAAAAATACTTTTCTGAAAACCAAGCCAAATTTTTCTTTGATTGAAAAGTATTTTTCGTTCACCAAAAAATGTTTTTCATTGACCGGAAAGTGTTTTCTGTTGACCAATTTTTCTAGTGGCAAACAAACATGGAAAAGTTTGGAAAGTGGTTTCTGAAAAATTATTTTTCAGGAAATAAACATGACCTAAGTATTTTTTATCTTTAAAGTTTGTGAAAAAATAGATATAACCTTGGGTTGATTTTAATTTTTAGAACGGTTTGTTGCGATCATGAATAGGTTTATAATGATGTTTTTATAGGTGTTTTCGGTGAAAATAGATTGAAAAATAAGCTTTTGGGTAAAAAAACTTAAGTCTTGATTTTCTAGCCACTACAATAACCGGAATCTAAACAAATAAGATAATGTATTATCTATTTTTTAAAAAAATAATAATAGGACAGAAGACAATTGCAAAAAAAAAAAAATTAAAGGTTTAATCACATGGTCATGACACAAGCCAAGCCTAGTTATGCCTGGCCATTGCTCTTTTTTTTTCTAATTTTGTTTTTAAGGTTTTTTCTCTAAATTTTACTAATTTTGATTTAAATTAATACCCTTTTTCTCTTTTATTTTTTTAGAGAACCTCTTTTAAATTATGATTATTTTTTTAGTTATGCATTTGAATTTAAAGAGTTTTTATAATTCATTTATAATTTTTTTTCATCTTTGGCATGGATGAATTTTATTTTTGAAAATAAAAAATTTAAATAATATTTTTTAACATATACAATCTTGCATGATTTTTTTTTCCTTTTATTTTATTTGATCAATTTAATATATGTCTCTATTTCTAGTATTGTTTGCTTAAATAAAAAAGTTACTTTGATTAACAAATTTAGCAAACACAACCGAATAAATATCCCTCATTTCAATATTAATTATATTGATTTATATTAATCTCTCGATTTTTCAAGTTTTATTTTTAAATATCATCAATGATTTTTTATTTTTTTATCAGTATACATAATTCTTGATTTATTTAATTACATATATGCATAAAAAATTATTTAAATTTAAATTTTTTAAACTATAAAAATAAATTAATAATACCTGTATATATAATTTTTTTATAAAAAATAAAAATATCTCACCTGCACGATCATATAATTGATACGTGCTAAACTAAATCTCATACTACTGTTTCATGATTTTTCTCCCTGCAATTTATAATAGCACCCACATTTAAGAAATTGAAAAAAAAAAACCATCAAATTATTTCTAAAAGGCAGCAAATCATCTATCAAGATGCATGTATGTAAGTCTTAATGGGCCATCCATGAATCATCATCCATCAAAATTAATGCCTCCAAGGCTGTCATTTTCTTAATACTTTAGTCTATATCTGCAAGGACAAGTTTGAAGACAAGCCAAGGAAGGTACCGTTGGTTCTACAGTTTCCACTCTTTTTTTCTTTATCCATTTCTCAGCCCTTCCTGTCATTTTGCACCTTATAGTGTGAAGTGTGAACATAGCAAATCAATGGGACGGGGCCAGGAAAATTTTGAATTCCATCACTGCCCATGAACAGCTCATCTATTCACGAATCATACCCCTGAAAGCCAACGAAACAGCTCACTAATTTCTTCTCCAACACGACTCGCCCCCAAACCATAATCTCCGCCACCGGCAATCTCGCTCCGGCCACTGCTACAGGTAAATAACCTTCCAGAACCTCTAGAAGATGTCGTACGTGAAGAGAGAGAGGCGGACAGCCTATCAACATATTCTCTTAACAAACTTCCTCTCGCCGAAGCCACTTCCGCTGCCAGAATCGGCTCCTCGGACAATGTCAGACCACCCCCGCGACCACTCTCCTTCGACATACTCCTTCTGTGCGATTGACTGATAGTAACCTCTGATTCCTCCTCCACGACATAATCAAACGAACCAACTGGGTACGAGCTCCTATCCTCGTCTGCAGCGGCAGAGGCTGTGGCTGGAGTGAGAGAGGACGCGGGGTTAGGAGCAGTATGTTCTCGACGGCTAATAGAGCCAATCTCAAGGCGGAAGCTATCACCACCACGAGCGTCACCTTCAAGGAGAGCTTTGGCGAGCTCTGATTCCGAGAAATGAATACGAGACCGGCAAAGAGGACACGATTGGTTAGAATTGAGCCATGTTTCAATGCAATGTGCATGGAAGGCATGGCAGCAGAGCGGAAGCAATCGCAGGATATCCTCTGGTTCGAACGTCGACAAACAAACCGCGCAATCGCCGCTGGAGATTTCAGGGGAAGAGGATGGTCTGTGTTTGATGGAGGAGAAAGAGAAGAGAGGGAGTGAGTCAGAAACGGAAGACTCTAAGTCTTCCGGTGAAACACGATGGTTGTTGCTACTGGAGAGGCGGTTAGAGGATGAGGTTGTTATTGTGGTAGCTGTGGCGGTGGTTATAGAGGGAGACCGGTGGCGGACGGAACGGCGGCTTAAGATACGGCGGAGGAAACAAAGAGAAACAGAGACTAACAGAGTTACGGAGAGGATTAAAATGATGATCAAAATGCTTGAGTTTAGGTTCTGAAGGGCGACTTGGTGCCTCCGCTTGTATCGCTGGCCTCGTCGGTGTTGTTTAGAGGGATAAACGAATATACAGGAGCGGACATTTTATGGTTTTTAGAGAGATACAAGGCTGATAAAATGGGTGCGGGTGTGCATAAGATAGTGCTAATATGCACGCGAGATGGATTATAGTGGTGGTGGGGGTGGTTTATGGCATGGGTTTCTCCTGCGGAGTCATTGAATGGAAATCTCTTGAGTAAATAAATGCTCGCAGTTCTTAAAGAGGAGGCGGGGGCGCTGTGTCGTCCAGCTCTGCCCTCCGTTATAAATGTAAGAAAAAAGAGGGCTCTATCCATTACAAAACTCCTACTTCCAAGTAAGTAACTAATGACTATTAAATAAGATAATGTTCTTTCCCAACTTAGAAATCTCACCATATAATATTATAAATAGTATTGTTTTTATTAGAAAAGAAAAGAAGAAGCATGTTTGTTGAGTGGGCAATCAGATTCCAATCCGATCAAACAGGATTTAGTCATCATCCTGTGTTGGAATGTAAGAGTAATCATCCTAAGATAGTATTTATTTTTGTTTTCCCCTTGCAAACGCATCAATTCTAGTTTAAATTAATCCAATTGCGGAGAGATTCACCTGACGTCAAAATATTTCGATGCAGGTTAAGTTTTATATATTTAGTATTGTAATAATGATTATTTTTTAAAGTTTTGAGATCATTTTTTTTTATTTTTTATAATTTATTTTTAATATTAGCATATCAAAACTATTCAAAAATAAAAATATATATATAAAATCTAAAATAAAAATAAAAATTTTAATGGGGGATTAATGATGCAGGAGATGAGAGAGCATCACTGTATTGTATAGAATAATAGATGAATGTGTAAAAGTAGCCTGACTAAACCATCTTCTGTTTTCAATAATATATATAAAAAAAAAATGAGATTTATTTATTTATTTATTTATTGGGTGGGGGGATCTTTCTCTCTGTGCACGCCGCATTGCTTCATTCACACTCTTGGCATGCCTCTGGTAACAAAAACAAACTGAGCAATGCTCCATCTGACAAAACATTCCCTCCCACCTTGTTGGATGCAGGTGTGGTCTAGTTAGCATCAAATATAGATTAGTTCCACAGATCTGTTATGAAATGTTTTTTTTTTTTTTTTTTCCCTTCGTCTCCCAGCCTAAAAACACGGAAGAAGACAAACTTTTTTTTTTTTTGTCCCTTCGTCTCCCAGCCTAAAAACACGGAAGAAGACAAACCACACTGGAGTGTTGGGGGTGCTTGAAGAAAATGATCTGCACGTCAAACAAACTAGAGCTTTTGATTCAATTAGCTCACTATTAACGCTAAAATGATGGGTTTTAGCTCCTAACTAACTAGATTGATGGCCAGAGTTACGACACGAACGAACTGGACCAATTTTTTTAATGAACAAACTAGATATATCCAAGCATTACAAGCGTATTTTAAAAATATAAGAAAATGTTTGTGTGTTTCTATCCATTGGGAATATAGTGTATCCTGTCTGATAATTAATGGATAAAAAATTTATATTATTTAATATAAAATAAAATAGTAATTTACATAATTAAGATGTATGTATATATATATTAAATAATAAAATTATAAATCTAATACGTGTATATGTGATATGTAAATATTTCTATATGTATATATTATACTGTCTTTAAAACATATATATATATATATATATATAGTGACCTTGCTGGCATGGACGATAAATAACAACTTTTTTTTCTATTAAAGCAGTGTTTAGTTCCTGTCTGTTGATTACTATACAGTAAAAAAAACAAAAATAACTAAGATAAATGGGATGAGACGGAATAAAAGTACGTAAACAAAGCTGTGTTTGGTAATAATATATAAAACAAAGTGAATATCTTTATATTTTATTTAATTAATGAAGAGTGAGACATAACAAAAAAAAAATTGTTCAATTCTTGATATATAGTATCATCAAACTTGCAATCTTTAAAACATCAGTTTTTTTTAACTTAAAATGGTAATTTCTCCACACATTAAAATTAAGTTAAAATATTTTATAATCATCATTAAAAAAATCATTACTAAAAATAATATAATTAAATCATAATTTTCTCAAGTGTCAAATCATTTTTCTAAATAAACTTTATAATAAAATAATTAATCCAACCAATCATATATCAAATAAAATATTTCCACCAAGGCAACGTCAAAACATAACATAGTTGAAAATAAAAAATAATAATAATTTTATCCCAAATCCACATTTTTTTTTATCATCTAATTCTCACTATTTCATTATTAAATCTAATTTCTTTGAGAAGATCAATTTTCATTTCACTATATCATGTATGTTTTAGTCTTTATATTGATTTTTTTTAATGACAATATTCATTAATCTTTCAAATGTTAAACAATTCACTCGATGAGTACTAATTTTTTTAAAAAAATATAAATCACTCTTAGAATTAATTTCATTCAATTCATAAAAAAAAAAAAATCTAACCTAATTAATTTATTTTTTTATTGTTACAAACTATTAAATTGTACGAAATAATTTACTCTCTCTCTCTTTTTGTTTATATTTCTCATATTTTTTTATTATTTCTACTTTTATATTTTCTAGTTTTCAAATTTAATGATTGGAATTAAGTTGACAAAATCAATGATCTGAATGTAAGAATAAAGATTGAAATTACTAGGAACAACAAAACTTAGGGGCTCATACATACCAAAAATCCCATTGCATGCACCAAACTTTCCATAACCTTATTCAAGGCCCTTTGATAATATTAGATTTCCAGAACTGTTGACAGCATATGATTACACAGCAGGCCAAAGTTCAGGTGAAAAGCATAGAGAGTAGGATATCAAAAAGAAGAAAAAAGAAAATTCCTAACATATAAACTTGCCTTGTGATCTTGAGGAAAGACTACAAAGCATTTCAGGAAAAAAAACCTTGCTTTATTTACGAGTCTTTATACACATGCATCAAAGTGATGTGATCACTGGGTTTGAGGCTGCACTTTCAACATTTCCCTTGCAAACACCGTCTCTGCAGAGAGGGCATACACTGAAAGCCGACAAAAGAACAATGAGAACTCAACTTATAATCAGGCCAGGTCAACTAAACAAGAAGGATGGTAGTGATAGCTTACCCATGTATTTCCTTGAGCCATTTGTCAACACATGACATGTGATATTCATGAGAACATGGGAGAACTCGAATTTTATCTCCTTCCTCGTAATCAGCCAAGCAAATGTGACACCTTCAAACAAAAGTAGTTATTTTTGCTAAATACTGGTCAAGATTAATTGAGGAGAACAAAAAATAAGTTCAAAAGGCGTTTGAAAGGAAGTGAACATTGCTATAAACAGTAGCATGCATGTTGATTATTCAGAATCATGACCGGTAGATAAATGATCTAAGTTCTTGATCTATGCATGAAGTTTCATATAATTGATCTGCAGAAAAAAAGAAGTATATTTACTACTAAGGCCTCCTGTATAGATTCACACTCCTCTAGTCATATTGAATGAAGTGCCGATCAAGAGAACGGAAGGGTTGATGAATTCAGAGATAAGAGAAATGAAAATCAACCTAGAGGCCCCAAATGCTGTCCCAGAAGCGCAGTGATGTGGAGAGATATTGCAACAAAAGTTATGTGTAATAATTCTCCACAAAGCTCAAGTGCTATTCCATTCAGGAAAATTCGACTTTGAAGGACAGCTGTTCAAACACTGTAGCCTCCTTGGCAACCATCAATATATATTTTACTGTTCCATTTCATTTCTATCTATACATTTTTTGCTTTCACATTTTGATCAAGTTCAACAAAATTTCATTGTTAGCATGATCCTGCGCTACAATTCACATTGTCAGAATTTTTTTTACCAATTCACCACTTATAAAACAAGAGTCAAAAAGCAAGTACAAATGGAGGGAGAGAGCATGTCTCGGGTTGGTACAGGAAGAATGGTAAATCTTTCTCGCGCTACCCCTTTCGTTGTAGCAGGAAGTGAGGAGTGCCAGAAAGGAGGAGAGTGATAGAAGCTAGGAAATTATTGTTAAAGCAAGTCTTGGATTAGTTCCTCGAACTTCTACTTTTTCTGCAGTGTGTCAGAGCTACAAACACCAATATTATTTAAATCCATGAATTGTTTTAGTTATGAAATCCTCTTCACTCTATTACAATACCCAAGCTGCCTTTTTTCTCCATAAATCAAATCAAAGTACGATGGCAACACAAGTACATTCATATTCAAATGATGAAAAAAAAAAAAGCACTTACTGTTGTTCATGCTGTGCCACTTTTTCAGTTCCCTGGAACTTTTTATAATTCTTCAGAGGAAACGAATTTACAACAGCTTCTGGAGCTGGAAGTGAGAGCATGGAAGGTGATAGGGACAGGCGATGGTGATGGAAGGTGATAGGGACAGGCGATGGTGATGGATTTCCTCTAAAACCTAGAAAATAAACGTAATAAGAAACTACGAAGAAGTATGAGTATAGGACGACTCTGCATAAGTGATGATTATGAACATGCTTCGCATTAGACAAATATTACAAGCCCATATCCATTCCATTTCACAAGTCTTTACATAATGTACCTGATAATTTAGTACAGCCAAAAAGGTTTATAGACAGTAGTTGCCATGGAGGAACCATTTGAGTTTATGTGCATCAATGCTTTCAGTAAAGGAAGACATGCAAGTTAAAAGATGTGATTTGCACTAAACATTCTCCTAAGGAGAAAGAGAAGCTAATAACATCACACAATGCAAGCTGTTGATACTTCTCAAGGCATAGAACTAGCAGAGTACCTCAAAAACAGTAACCTTAAAAGAAAGCATTTACCTCAAAAAGTGCATCTGCCAGCAGAATTATTTGTGAAATACTTGCATGGCTGCTGGACTGGACAGCCCCAGAAGAGGATTCACATGAGCATGTACCATTAGGATGAAGCCCAGCTGGACACAAGGAAGATTCCCAACCTAGCTCATCACGTACATCATGAAATGTTTCTCTCTGAAATAATTAATGGAAATGTAAAAAAAACAAAAAAAAAACAGGAAA